AAACGACTGGATTTGTCAAGACTAGTTTACGAAAGATAAAAAAAAATAATAATAATAAAAATAAAAACTCAGTGGAACCGGTTCGGATTTTTATTTATATTTTTTTATTTTTTTTTTTTATGACAACTGACAACTTCCAACAATGCAATATTTCACAATATTTATAAAATTATATTACATCGCCCACCTACAATTGCCACTTGACCGAACAACCTTTTAACATTGAAATCACGTTACCACGGTAAGCGTTATTTGTACCGGAATCGATTATATTTTCACCAAATCGTCCTATAATCTTGTTCAAAGGTGGTAGGTGATTTACGGCTGTTAATATATCAATTTAAAATTTATAAATAAGTTAATGTGAACAGATTTTTTCCTATTCAACGAAAGCTGCAGAAATCGCGATTTAAAGTTCTAAATACGATTACGAGAAGGTGTTTGTTTTTTAACATAAACGTCAACGCAATTGATTAAGAAACGATGTTCAACTTCTTAGATACATTTTTATTGTTTTTTACCATCATAAACGCCCTTAGAAAAAAAGCTGTTAAACTAGTTTGAAATATAATTGGGAGAAAATATGGGAAGAATGTTAAACACACTTAAGCACCACGTGATAATATTCGATATAAATGTGAAATCTACCAAAGATATCGGTACGATATATGCATTCGGAATTGCAACGCTGTACGATATCCGTACACAGTACCTACTCGTGTATGTGTGCCGCGTGTGTGTATAATACCGATCAAGTTGGTCTGTTCAAAAAATATTCTTTTGCCACGAAGTTGTATCCAGCTGGATAATATGTTCGCGATTGCGATCTCCGATCGCCTTGAAGTCTTGAGTAGGAGTGGGTCGCGTTTGCGCCTAATTACCGTATTTGCGCCTGTATAGAAAAACCGCGATTGCGTCTATAATACATTAATTTGGCAACGTCGCAGTAAAACTTAAATTTGTAATATTAACTTCTAGTATTAACCAAACTCAAAAAAAATTACAAATTTTTTTTTCGTACCATTAATTGAACCATTGGTTCGCATTTAGATGATAAGATATTTCCTGATCGTAAATATTCTTGAACTTTAACAATATTTTTTGGAATATTTTTCTGTATATTTCTACAAAGGTACCTTCCATCACGAATTAATACTACGCTTGTTGTCCCATTTATTGATTAGTAATGTATTACTGGAGTAATTAGAAGTTATACTATATTTTATTCTGTCTATTTGAAGTCTGAAAAAGCGGGATTTTAAGTTAAGCGTATCCATATTTATGCAAACAAGTATTATTAAATGTTAATAAATGCAATCAAGGGTTTTCTAAATAGGCGCAAATAAGGTATTTACACGCAGACACAGTCTATAATATACCGGTAATAATAATTCATAGAAGAATTCACACACACACACACACACACACACACACACACACACATATATGTATAGACATAACAATATAGCGCACATGGATACTGCACCTTCAACCTATAAAACCGCACGGGGCAACTGCGTTATAGTGCGAATATCTAATCAACACAAGATGAAACTAATTACCAATATTCTATAATGGAACGCTAATATCCTGTACGTATTTTGTTGCGAGGTTTTTTTCTAGAGTAAACCGCCGTAGGTATGTAATATATGAAAAATGATTGTTTAAACACAGTAATGCGTACGCTTCGTCTGCAATATCCTTCGTCTGGGTCCACAATGCATATGATAATTACCTATTGTACGATTACGATTTCATTAATTAATATTATTATTTAACACGTTATCGCGGCGATCTTATCGAATGATTAACTATTAGGTAGGTGCTACGTAGGTACGCTCAGCCACTTCAACCTGGAACGTTTGCGAAACGCGAAAATATATTTATCATTATTATTATTCTCGCTTCATTCGTGCAGTCACCTCTTATTTAAAATGCTCGTTACATGGTCAAATGGTTCGTCGACTAGATCAGCAATATCATATCGGAACCGTTCGCGTTCGTGTGCACCGCGTTGCAAAACGCTTGTAACGAAATCAAGTGATATTTTACAACATTTTTCAATGCTAAATTTAAATTGCACACCGTGCGTGATCAAATAATAAACATTATCGATACCCTTTTGTTATGCGTTACCGTTGCACGGCTGCAAGCCCGTGTTGGCGTTCGAAAACGTTTGTTGAACGAGAGTGTAATGATAACGATCGGTTAAAATACATGTTAAACCGTACCTCGATCCGATCGATGAGTAAACTTCATTTAAGCCTCATTGACTTGAATGAGGATTTGGAAAGTTGGTTCCGTTCGAGATATACACGTCTGGCGCGATTGGAGGGAGCTCCGAGAACATCGTTAATCCGATAGCCTGCAACGCGCATTACTGTACCGACTCGTGTGCACCGCCGTCGTGCGCCTCTACAGGTAATTCGTCTCGGCACAAAACCGTACGATATTACACCGGGTCGACCTGTCACCGCGTGCCATGTTAGAAGCAAAATTAATAATCGTATTGTGAGCAGTGGGCGGCTGAACGGTTATCGCGCGATAAACGTGTCGGTGAATTCAAAAATTCGTGCGAGTCGCTGCGGGTCAGACGAGTAGAAGTACACTCGTCGCTTTATAGCGCGCGCGGCTTCCCCGTGGCCGCGTGGAACGAATAGAAAGCTCAAGCACTTATCTCTTGCGTGGGAGTTGTTAAAAGATTGCGCGTGAAAATCAACTTTTTTTTTTACCAATTATCGTGCTGAAACGAAAAAATAAATAAATAACGAAACGGAGAAGAGCGGTTGTTAATCATTATTCTACGTGTTTAAAAAAATTTACGAATAAAAATAAATAGCACGTATACTGGACGAGGGGAAATTATGTCCCCGCACTATCAGTCGATCGACCGTACAACTTTTGTCTATAAATTGCGGTCATTATTATAGTAGTAGCGGTAGAGTATCCGTATTTCCTTGAATACTATTTTGTTTTGTTACGCGTGTCGTATTTAGTGTATTCAATTTATTCTTGTTTTTTTTTTTCAATTTCTACCCAAATATAAGGTCATAGTTTTTACAACGAATGCCCCCGAGATAATAACCTCAGTTCCAAATGTGCACCGCGAGGTGTAGAAGTTTGGGAACCGCTGGTATATAAAATAAACGTGAGTGTGCGAAAATAAAAATGAAAAAAATGAAAAAAAATATGATAATAATATTAACGAAACAAAGTGGCGTAACGAGTTACGAGTATGACGGGCACGATTAAATCTTTGTTTTTCAATGTTTAAATCAAAACGTTTTGTATAGGGATTACGCGGTCGGTGAACGGACGACCTTACCTCGGAATATATTATTAGAATAAAGCGAATTACGTTCGTATACCAATGTATAACAACAATGTAAAAATGAAATTTCAAACGACCCTAAATATATTACCTCGGCCACCGAGACGACCTAAAAAGTATACAGTTTACGAGTATATGCAGTGAAACGGACTCCGGCAATAATAATCATAATAAAAAACAACATAACTTTTTCGATCTATGTTACGATATAATTTTAAAAATAAATACTTTCTTGGTCGACAGAAATCCGTGTACATTGTATATGTACATATGTATATTCAGCTATCGGAATACGATTGATTTTCAAAAAAATAAATAAACTATGTAAAATATTTTTACTTTTTTTCTTCAATATCAATATTACGCAATTGTATTTAAAACAATTTTAACGATAAAAATCTGCTCGGAAAACTTAAATACAATTCATTCATTAATGATTGATGAGTAAATCGTATTATTTTTGTTTTGTAAAATTAGAACGTCCCTCCTTATCTATTAGAGTTTAATTTTGTAAAAATATTCATTGTAAAACTTCTTAAGTTTCATGATTTTTGTTCAGGTATCGGACAAATGATTAACATCGTGCTTTTTTTTTCAAAGAGATCTTATGATGATATTGTACACGATTTTATCAGAATGGTAGATACATTTGTTTATTTGTAAAAAACAACGATTTGGCTAATACACCTAAGACCATTTAATTACGTGGAAAACAAATATCCTTAATCGTGTTTCACAAAAATGTGGAACAGATCCAACATTGATTACACATCATCATATCTCCTAATGAATGACGATACCGAAGAGCGTAGAACATACCCCCTGCAATGTAAAACCGTGGCCGACGTGAATCGAAACAATAAAGTCAAAGTTGTTGATATCATCGAGTGGATAATTTTCGAAATTGAAAAAACGTTAATATTACATCATGTAATTGACATATCTTCTTGTATTCAATCCTATGGTTGGTTTCACGTTCTCCATTCTTCCATGTTATCAGCTGACCTATTGAGTCCTATGTAGTTCGACAGTCTAGCATCTGAGATCATTTGCTTGAAAAATTGAGTTTTCAGACGTCCTCAGTTTCTCTATCCTTCAATTTTCCATTCTATTATTACATAAACTAGTTCCTTTTCGTTCCTCGATATACAACCACCAATCGCGTTCAATTGTCTTGCTTCGACGATTTTGAGTCTCTCTGCGTTTGTTTATTGCGTCGATTTTCGTCGGTTCGGTGTCCTCTTGCAACATTTTTCTCTAATACCGAATTTCAAAGCTTTCGATAATTCGTTGTTCCGCTATATTTAGTATCCCGGTTTCGCACCGTAAAAGTGTTTTTGTTTTCGTGAAAGCGGACCTTACGGTCAATACGCTGACGAACACAACGACTTTTGTTCTTCCTGTTTTAATTTATTATTAACGATCGACGCGCTAGGTAACTGGATCCCTCGTCCCCTCCCCCTCGAAAATGAGTTCACACTCCCCTGACCCCCGGTCGGATACCACCGGTTAATACCTCGTCCGACAATATTCGACCGGTACCCTCTGACCCATAAAGACACGACCGACGGGTTGGAATTCGAACGGACGAAAGCGTTTTCGCGCGATACGACGATATTGCACGCACTTGATTTACACCGGACGCGTTTGCGTTTTTCCATGTCCGCAGGTACATACACTCCAAGGAAAAACCGTTCAAGTGCCTGGAATGCGGCAAAGGGTTCTGCCAGTCGCGCACGTTGGCCGTGCACAAGATTCTGCACTTGGAGGAGTCGCCGCATAAGTGTCCCGTGTGCAGCCGCAGCTTCAACCAGCGGTCAAACCTGAAAACGCACCTGCTGACGCACACTGACATCAAACCGTACAACTGTCCCACGTGCAGCAAAGTTTTCCGCCGCAACTGCGACCTGCGTCGGCACAGCCTCACGCACAACCTGGCGTCCGCGTCCCTGTCGTACGTGACGACCGCCGCCGCCGCGGGACAGCAACCAGCCGCGTCCCTGCGCGATGTCGACGACTGCAGCGCGTCTAACGCTGATCTCATTTGAATAGTGAAAAAAAAACAAAAAACTGAACGGGTCGAAAAAACGCTCTCTCTCGTCGAGGTTGTCGAAAACGAAATATGACTTCCAAAAAAAAAAATTTTTTTAAATGCGAATCCCGTAGCCGGATGAAACCGCGAACCGGAACCATCATGTACCTCGCGTGGTCCAAACGACGGTCACGGGAAATCGGACCGCGACGTGCTCGCAGGGCCACTGCCGTTCGTAAATAAATTTACTGTCACGCGCTAGAAACAGAGCTGTTATTCTCTTCGAAACGCGTATGTTTTTATTTTTATGTGTAATCATCGTCTTCCTGTAAATTAAACGTTTATATTTCTGTTCACGGCGCAGCTTAACTTTGTTGCGCTCGCGTCCAGCACGACCAACCCGACAACGTTGTACGTACGGGGTGATTTTCATCTTGTCGTTATATCAACGCGACTCGTCGTCGGGGGGGGGGGAACTCCTATATAACGCTAGCTCATAAGTTGTAAACATCTAATAAATCGCTTTGTGTACTGATCATTACATTTGTTTTTATTCTCCTCGGAACTCGTTTGTTTTCGAACGACACGTGTGAAACACATCTGAAAACCTATTTTTGCACGCAATTTGAGTAAGTACTACGTTATTTATATATTTATATATATACAAAGCGTGATGATTTGAAAATGGAAATCCAAAGGTTCGTTTAACGGTGGTATGAATATTTCTACTCCAACGCATTTAAGATAAAAAAGATAATCGTGTAAGACGCCTTATTGTATGTAATTCTTGTTCGGTCTAGTGGTTTTCACATAGTTCATTGGTAACGATTTGTTGATCACAAAAAACCGTTAGTAAAACAGTTCAGTCGCTTTCTGTCGAAAATCGATAGGCCATATGTTTTTACCGTTATTTTATAACTTTTCGTCAGTTCTTCTATGATCATTATGAAATAAAGTAAGATTCGTAATATAAGCCTCATGTACGCACCGACCCGTTTATGCGTTCAACTACGCAATATTTTAGAGACATCTTCTAATCGCGGTGATCGGAGCTTGTGGTCGGAATCGAATGCGCAAACGCAAAAAAAATAAATAAAAAAATATCGCCCGTCATAATGGTAGGCGGTACAAAGTTTGAATCTCGATCTCGGTTGACATTTTTAGTAGTTTTTTCTCCATTTTTCTCAATCATTTGGAAAACCGTTGAGACATTAAACCGATTATACTTCATATCCCTCTGTTTCATATCTTATTTGGCGATTATCAGCGAACATTTTCTAGTCGAAATCGTGTACACAAACACAAACACAAAAAAAACATATAATACGTATCTCATTTCGTTCAGGATACAAAATAAAAGGTGAAAAATAAGCGAAAAACTAATAAAATAATAATATTCTAAGGACTACGGAATCGTTTTTTTTTCGAATATAGAAAACGTCTGTTCGCCAAACCATAAGCGGTACAATCGACATATGCTTGTACGTTTTCCGTCGACCTGCGTCTTGCGAACAACGCGTACCTCTAATCGAATTAACGTTTTTTCGCCGTCACTTGTGCCCACAAGGTGCAACACATGGAAAAACTTATTTTACACGCAAGTATTTTCATCTGCGCCTAACCACAATAATGATAAATACGAGTGTGTAACGAAACGACTCGTTTTCATACCGGTACGCCATCCCGTCGCCCATTCCTGACATAAAGCTAAATGTTAAGTATATTTTTATACGTAGGTATATGGTATTTATGGTGTAGTGTTATATTGGTGTAATTTAATTTAATTTCAACAAAAAAATAAACCACCAGGCGGCAATAATTACATCGTATGGTTTACGGTCCATAATTTACAGGTAGCAGATGGTTTATAATATAAAAACATACCGTTGAGTAGTGGAACGTTATATTACGTACTTATTAATATACAACCGTATTAATTCGAAGAAATGTGATCATTTATTTCGTGTGAAAATCAATATTAAAATGATTGATATCACGAATGTGTAAAATAATATTATAACATCGAATTTCCGTTAAACGATATTAATTGTTTAGTTAAAGACATTTATAGTTTCAAATTAAATGAAGTGTACTTTTTTTTTATTTTTTTTGCAAAAATTACAACAACCTTATTAAAAAAAATTGGTTCTACCACTATGTCAACTATTTTAAAATTTATTAACTGATTCACCCGACCGATTTTTCTAAAAAATCGTTTTTTTCGACAGCATTAGTACATTAGTTTTATGTTTTAAGACCAATACAACAATATCATTCATCCGTCCCTGTATCTCATTTCGCCATGGAGTTTCGTTCAACTAGGGAGTATTGCCCTTTTTATCTACACATTTGTAACAAGTTAAACATTATGTAATGTTCGCGTAATCGGTATGACAACAAAAAAAAGTGTTTCAGTTACCTGACACAAATTTTACATTTCAACAATTCCGAAAACACTGATCCAATTATTGACTACGTAATGTACAACAAAAGAGAAAAAACAATAATTAGTTGAATTATTATTTACGTAAACATGTTGATGTCACTCGGAAAACCAAAGTTGAAACTCCCACTAGATATTTCTAAAGAGATTCAACGATAATTTTTTACAAATGTATGTATTGGACAAATTAAATCTTTAAGCGAGTGTTGGGTACATTGTTGGTACAAGAGCAGCATTTCAACGAACGCATGATTTAGAGGTAACTAAGCGGTGAGCATTGTTAACAGATCACATTGTGTAGACAACTTTGATACGAAAAAAATTTTAAATTGCACGTCTAATGTCCAGGTAAAGTTTTATGACCCTTACGAGAACGTTCACAACGTTGGCCCGGGGAATACGAAGATTTTTCAGCGAAAAAATTGTATCGAGAACTCCACTCGTGCGCGCACGAATCTTACAGCCGACGTATATACGTTGTGTGCGACAGGAAATCGCGTCGAAAGGATACAATGAACGCGTACATCCCAATGTAACGCAGTCGTTCCGCGATTGCAGGCGTTATGCCATTTATTCACATGGTTCCATTCGTCGTGCTCGTGTGTGATTTAAAAAAAAAAAGCAAATCCTATAGCGCAAAATTAGTCACGACAAAAACGATTTCTCAGCACTCGATAAATTACAAGACGTCGGTTTAATTGTTAGGCGCGTGTTTTTATTTTTTATTTATTTTTATCTGATCCGTAACAACGCATCGGTGGCCGAGTGTGCATTAATGTGTGTACACGTATATATATTTGTGCGTGTGTACATTAATCCGGTACACGCACGCGTAGTTATTACGGCGAAAAACATACGATATTCGAAGGACATTATTATGTGCTTCTACCCGGCGAGTGGAAAAAAAAAATGAGAAAAAAAACAGTAAACACCGTACGTGTTCACATCATTTCTTATGCAAAACACCGCCGTACGTGGTAAATTACGGTTTACAAGCGAACGGACGAATCTTAAGAGTTTAAAATCGTCGTTAATTACGAATCGAAGGCACCACTTTAAGCCCATTTGACAACATATTTATACGCGCGTTCAAACCGTTTTTACGAGCGCGCCTTCGCCCAAAACCACTGTCGGGGCGCTTTTACGTTACGATAATACGTCGTACACAGTTCAGATCGTCGTAGTATGATATTATTTTTGTGTTTCACACGCACAATATGCGTATCGATTCGTTTCGAGTATCCGAACTGTGCGTACGTTTATACGGGGATGTATTTAAATAGAAACGATTCGATTTTTTCCAACAAGAATCGTTACACGCGTGCATTGCAATCGACGATAGTCGACCAAGCCGAGGACGATTCACCAATCGATGTTGCTGACATTTTAATTTTCACATTTCATACGAACCTATAAAATTTTTTCGTTGCGATAAACAGTTCTTGAGCGCAAGCAAAAAAACAATATAAATACGCATAGGTGTACATAATGGTTTTAAAAATTATAATTCGAAATTGAATTTATTGTATTCTTAAAAATATTTAGATTTTTCGAATTAAAGTTGGTATTTACGGTGAGTATAGAGCAATTTCAAATGTTAATACAAACATATAATTAGAAACCAAACAGTTCGACAGCTATAATCATTAATTGAAATAATTATATAATAAATCGGGTGTAGAACTTAAGTCTAGCAATTATTTGCATAAGCGAAAAGAATATATATCATAGCTGCAATTTAAATATGCAGACATACTTGTTTCGTTGGTTTTGCAGGTGACATACGTTTTTTTTAGTGGTATCCATAGGCGTGCGGGGGAATTTTGTATGGGGTGTACCGTAAAGAAAAGTTTACCACTTTCCTTTATATGAGCCTTACCAAATCTCACCTAACTCTCTCTTCTAAAAAAAAATGATAAATTTGTGTTAATATTTTGCCTCTTTTAATGAAGATCCTAATTTATTTTATCTAATTTTTACTATTTGTAGCTTAAAATTTAAACTAAATACCCAAATGAATAAAAGTCAGAAAAAAAAAATTACGGACCACAGAGTGTGCCACTGTACACCTGGCACAAACTGTGTGCACACCTATGGGAGTATCCATAAATTAATTTACTTTTTAAAAAATAATTTGTACTAACTTATGTACTTCCGAAAACTAATAAAGCAATTATAATAATTGTTTGATTTCAGTAACACTAAAATTTACATTTTTTTTATGTTAAGATATTTCAATTTTATAATCAATTATATATGATATTTATACGATTTCTTGAGACATTAAGTTTTGAACTCAACGTGTAAGTGGAAGAAACAAAAAAATGTGTGATAAATGACTTTTTCGATATTTTATGATTATAAAATAAATATCAAATTTAGGTGTGCTATATTTTAGTATCGTATTATGCATACAATGACACAGAAAAAAAAACAACGAAATTGAAATGTCAACGAGGAAATGAGGACGAAAATACAAGCTGCAACTATTACGAGTTAAAAAAAAAAAAATATGTTGCCAACGAACAAGTAATAATAAATAACGATACACGTCAGGACCAATAATGGTCTTCAGAGTTCGCGAAACGTATTAGACTTGTAAAACATGTCAAGGATATTTAAGCCCCAACGTCTGACGTGGGGCTTATTCATATATTTATCATATTGATTATAAAAATTAAATATTCGTTTGAGAATTTTCTGAAAATTCCTTACTGTAAACTATTTTTTTGGCATTTTAAGAACAAAATAAAAATGTGTTTGGACGGTTTATTGACTATGTATAAAAAACGTACAATAAAAAGAACACATGATTTTTTTATATAATGGTTTTTTAATTATAATGACCAAGTTTAATACCATATTTTTCTTCTTCTCCTTAGCCTTTCTCCCAACTATTTGAGGTCAGCCATTCTTGTACTAAACCTCCCCTCGTTTTGATTTTCTACACCCCATACGTACACACCAACAGCCCTCAATCTCAATATATATATATATCAATCTCAATCGTATCCAATCATCTCTTTTTTGGTCTTCCTCATCCTCTTTTCCTTTTAACGTTCATTTTCATAGCCACTTTTACTGCTTTTGTTTTC